GTGGTTTCTTATATGGATTGGTGAAGGGATTATCCCTCGAGGAATGTTGTAAGGTAGGCTCATGTAGTGGTGGATCAGTGATTCGTTCCCTTGGGGGTGAGGTAACCCCAGGGAATTGGCAATGGATGTACAAGCAGATGCAGATGAAGGGTCTCTCACTTCCTGATATTCGGAACTGAACGTGTCCGTAACATAAGAACCGTTTCTTTTAACTTGCATTGCTATGGTTTTGTTTTTCTGAAAGCAAAAGGGCAGATTTAGTTGCATTTTGGGGCTTGATTGACTTGTTCACACGACTCCTCTTTATCAACATAAGCTTCAACATATATAATCAATGTTGAGTCATCATTGAATTATTTCTGTAGGAACTAATATGCAAGGGCTTCAATCCATTAAATCGACTGTTATTGGAGGAAAAGTCTTATGTTACCTCATAAAATTGTCATTTCGAGCATGAATCATCATACAACCAAATTATTAGTGTTAAATATCTCAAACATGAAATTCAATCCTATTAGCCCGCACACTCCACCTCGGTCTTTCATGGAAAAAAGCAAGTTGAAAGCGTTCATCGTGATCAAATATATGCACTAAGATATAAAAGAAGATAACGCATTATTGACACTAGCAATGTACATATACTGAAATACGATTGTTATCGCTACACTAGATAGTAAATTTTTTTAAGTTTCGAACCCGTACACATGAAAAGTAATCAAAACTCACAAAAGTTTTGATTGTGTCTAGGATGAATATGGAGTTCCAGAAGTAACGTGGCATAACTGGCTTTCTTTTTCTAAATGCAGCAATTATGACTAGAGATGAACATTTGTCGGATTTCAATCCGATCCGGATCGGTTTTTATCCGATCCGGTTTTTTCTCATAGAAAAAAACCGGTTTATAAAATAACCGGTTCGGTTTTTAACCGGTTTGGAGGGCCGGATATCCTAACCGGTGTAACCGGTTTCGGTTTTAAAAAAACCGGTTTTTTAAAAAACCGGTTATAAAAAAACCGATTTTAATATTCCAGATTACTCATAGGGAACCGATTCCCCCCCAAGGGGGTACCGATTCCTCACTGAATGGTTTGGCTCCGAGATTTCCAGAATGCTCGGAGGGAACCGATTCCCCCATAGGGGGTACCGATTCCCCCTATTCAACGGTCGAAATATTTGAATTTTACACTTAGGGAACCGATTCCCTATGAGAGGGTACCGATTCCCCCACGCTCCAAGCATTTTTATTAAATGTTTTCACACTTAAACGGCTATATTATCTTCATTAATTATCACTAACGTTCAGAAGTGATTCAAGGTGTATTTAAGCAAGCTTAGAAGCCATTGATCAAAGACAAGAAACATCAAACAACTAGAATCAAGAGAGAATCAAAGAGAAAGCATCAAACCTCAAGTTCGATAAATTCAAATACTTAATTGAAATACTTAATTAACTCAACATAATTAAAATACTTAAATACTTCCAAGTTTGATAAATTCAAATACTTAAAAACTTCCAAGTTCGATAAATTCAAATACTTAAAAACTTCAAGTTCGATAATTGAAACAAAGTTTACGATAATTGAAATAAAGTTATAAAATAAACTACATTGCCATCTCTTCTTCATCATCTTCGCCTTCTTCGTTTGGAGGGGATATTCCAAGTTCGACTTCTTCAATGTGTAAGTTTGCTTCCAAATCGGCATCAATTGCATCTTCTAGGGTGGTGATATGTTGCTTACGAGCCACTCCATCCAAATAATCCTTTAAACAAATGCATACTTCCACCGACTCGGGACTTAGTCTTGATCTCCGTTGCGATATAACCCTGCCACTAACAGAAAAAGCGGATTCCGAAGCTACCGTAGAAGCTTGGACGGTTAGTAAATCACGGGCCATGGCGGCTAGAATCGGAAATTGTGCTTCCTTTTCTTTCCACCAAGCTAAAATATCCAAACTTTCAAACTCTTCAAATGTCATTTTTGATAGAAAATCGCATGACATATAATTTCCCAACTCGCTACTTGGGGTGGTAGTACGTGATCGTTTGGATTGGGAATTTACAAGAGTGTTAAAAAGATTCAAATTTATGTTACTTGGACGTCTACTAGATGATTCCGCATTCATTCTCATTTGATCGTGTATTACACTACTTGATCCGTATTTATTTAAATAAATTGCAAACATGTCTCGAAAACATTTGTTAAAATAATTTATTTGGTTTTGGACAAAGTTGGGTTCATCATCGGTTAGATTAAAAGCAAACGCAATTTGTTCAATTAGTGTTTCAACCCCACCAACATTTAACGTTGGGTTTAAAGCGGCGGCACAAGTAAAAATGGGGGGAATCTCCTTAAAATATTTTAAAAGTTTTTCCTTCATTGCAAAGCCAATTTCTTGAAAAACTTCGGTTTCAAATTCAAAGTCATTTAGTCGGGTAGCCAACAAAAATATTTGATTAAGAACCAACGGGCTAGTAGGATAATAAACACCGGATAAAAAGTTGTTGCATTTTTAAAAACCTCAAGCAAATCGGTTATTTTGGCTATAGTTTCCCAACTCGAATCCGGATAAATGTTTGGGACATGACCCCTCTCGAAAAGCCGATCGTGAAATGTTTGCAATGTTTCCCTTTGCCTTAAGGCAGTATGCATCATCATCCAAGTTGAGTTCCAACGAGTTGGACAATCCAAATTAGGACCCAAAGCTTTTTATTAACGGACTTACAAAATCGTTTATAATCATTTAGTCTTTTGTTGTTGTTACAAAGAACCGATTTTATCATTGTTTTGAATTCTAATCTAATCGGCTCAATAACCTCCAAACCGGCTTGCACGGATAAATTAATTATGTGTGCAACGCAACGGGTATGAAAAAACGCACCGTCTAAAATCGGTGAAAGTAATATTTTCAATCTTGGAACCGCGTTTGTATTATTCGATGCATTATCAAAGGATATAGAAAAAACTTTATTTTCTAATTTATAAAGACAAATTACCCTTTTTAAAAGTGTAAATAAATTAACACCGGTATGCGGCTCACCGAATAATTCAAACGCGATTGTTCTTTTCATCATTTGCCAATTATCTTGATCTAACCAATGTGACGTAACGGCTAAAAAAGAATTTCTGGTATTATGAGGGGAACTCCAAACGTCACATGTAAGCGACACACCATAACGGTGTTCTTGGAATCCTAAAATCATTTTTTCCCTCGCCGTACGCCACATTTTTATAGCATCTCTTCTAAGGGTAGTACGACTTACTTGAGTATAACGTGGTTGCATTAGTTGTTGAATTGTTGTCGTGAAATCTTCATCATCAAAGTGGTCGAACGGCAATGCTTTTGTAATCACGAACTTTGTAAACGCTTCTCGTAATTTTTCGTTGTCGTAAACAAAAACACCACCTTGCGGTGTAAGATTCGATTGACTAGGATCCGATCTTGAGCGAAGTGCCTTGCATGATTTTGTCAAATGGTTCTTCAACGTTGTGTTTCCTTCCGATGCAAGAAACTTTAGACAAAGTTTACAACGCGCCCTCCTCGAGCCATTTGACATCTCACATACATCGTAGTGATCCCAAATGTCTTTGTTTCGAGTGTGTTCGATCACTCTCACGACTTCAAGGTTTCCCCCGACGGAAGATTCAGCCGTGTTACTCATGATGAACAAAAAATTACAAAAGTAAGATTTGAGAGATGTTTAAGTGTTGTGTAATAAGATTTGAGGAATTTGTAATCAACCAAATACATCCCCAACCTATTTATACATGTTTAGGGTGGTAAAATGGTAATTTTTTAAAGAAAAAAACGGTAAAAAACGGTCACAAAACCCCCCCAACGGCTATATTAACGGCTAGTTTTTTAAACCCAGACCGGTTTCTTTTTCGGATAAAAACCGGTTTTTTAACCGGTTTTTTTCAAACCGGTTTTTTATCCGGTAAAAAAACCAGTCTAGGTTTTTTTCTCCAAACCGGTTAAAATAACCGGTTTAAAAAAATCCGATCCGGTTAAAAAAAAACCGGTTTTTCCCAAAACCGGTTTCGGATATTTTTTTCGGATATTTGGATTTTTTGTGCACCCCTAATTATGACCCAAGAACATGAAGCATTATAGCATTCTGTGCATGCATACGATTTTCTGCCTGTGGAAAGACGATGGAGTTTGGAGCCTCAATAACACTGTCAGTTCACTTCTACTCCTCTTTCAGCAGGCAAACAATGCATGAAATAAGCTTTTGGGCCTGCTATCTTCATAAGAGCATCCGAATATGCAAATCAATCAAGACAGGCACATGGTTGAGATTGTTCAAACAAGGGAAGAAAACTGATAAGCAAAAAACATAATGATGGAAATTAGGTATAGAATGTCACACAGCTGATCAGGTTTCAATCCATTCAGGAACTGAACTATGTATAATGTATAATGCACATTGTACGTGCAACACAAATCTAATTAAAACTTATAAGACATCATTCATAATTCAAGCAGATGTTTCTAATTATATGTTTTAATAATATTAAAGATAAAGGATTTTACCATCTAAGATGGCATTGTCATATTGGCATCCCAGAAATAGCAGTACAAACTAAATGAGTTTGCCCATTACCCAGTGTTTATATGTTTAAATGTAATAATTTAATTGTTTAAAATAAAATATCGATAATTAATTTAAATAAATTATAATTTCTTTTTGATTAATCTGGAATAAGTATAAGACAATAGCTGTTCAAAGAAATTTATCAAATAACAATAATTCTTTTATCATTGAGGTCGTTTGATTTATGTTAAAAGTTGTAATTAAATGGTCATAAGTGTAATTTAAAATAATAATAAAAAAGTAGATTAGCATTTAGTTTACAACTATTTTTCATCTGCTTTTAATCTAATTTCCGGACAACTGGAGTAGTCCTTTATTTCTAAGAAAATTAAAATACATAACATAATCACAAAAGTCGCCAAAAGTGCTTACACGGTCGACACCAAATTACAGACCACAAAACTCATTCAAGATTTAATCTTTATTTATTTATTTCGCAAGACGAAATGGAAAGACATGGAAGGCATTCATTTGTGGATCTTTTTAGTCTACGGTGACATGCTTCTCATTTGAAAGAGGAAGCAGGCCCTTTTCTCGGCATGTCTCGACAGCTCCTATGAACATGTCTGCCAAGCTATATTTAAACTGAAACCCCAACTCCATCAGCTTCTTTGAAGAGAATTCAATACTCTTCAAGTCACCATCCACGTCTTTGAACCTGACCAAAACATGTCTCATCAGGCCATGAATCAAAATTAGAGTGATCGTATAGGAACTTTGAATCATATGAAGGGATTTATTTACTCTGTTGGAACATTATATTCAGGGTACTTTTCTCTGAGCATCTTCGCAAGATCGACAATGGTAGCATGGTGAGAGGCGCAAATGTATCGACCTTCGGCTTTCGGATTCTCGAGAAGAAAGATATGAGCTCTACACAAGTCATCCAAATGAATGAATTGGCCTTGTTTTATGATTGAATAATGAGCTTCATTCCCTGCATTTGTCAACACATCTCATTAGATTCAACCTATTATTGACACATTTTGGAATTACAGAAGCCTGTACCAGTGATGGGAGAAAGTGCAGTTATAAGGCTTGGCGGCATCGACTGCATAATAAATGGACCAACAACTAAAGGTGGTATTATGCTGACAAAATCTATGTTATTTTCTTTAGCAAACTTCCAGGCAGCTTGCTCAGCCATTGTCTTGGAGACGAAATACATCTACGCAACCAGGGAAAACAAAGGGTTAGAATTTGACCGTTTCTATTGTTCTTTGTAATGCTGGAAGAAGTACTAACCCAACCAGTCATTTTCCTGGCTTGGATAAATTCAAGGTCGCTCCAACAGCTTTCATCATAACAAGGCTTTTGTTGTTCTGCAACGTCAATAGTTCCAGCAGATGACGTGAACACTAATCTTCTAACAGTTTCGGATCTGGCACATGCTTTCATGATGCTCAACACTCCATTGATCGTCGGTTTTATGACTTCATTCTGCAACTCAGACCAAAACCTACGGCTTAGACTTAGGGACGAATACAATATATTATGTTAAGGATGAACATATAATATTTTAAGAGATGTTGAACTTAAAAAATTTTAAGAGTATAAAAACAAATTATCAATAAAAAATACAAAAATACAAAAATAATATCTATATTAAATGATAATTTGAAATGATCAGGGAGACGGATCATCTTCTGTATTAATATACCTCGGGGTCCTCGGACTCGAAATCCATAGGTGTGGCGACATGGAACACACCTGTGCAACCTTGAATTGCATCATCAAAGCTCCCATCTTCACCTAAATCAGCTTTCCAAAGAGTCAGGTGTGTCTTTGCTTTAGGTAGTTCCAGCAAATGTTTCACCTTCTTCAAGTTTTCTACTCCATTAATAAAACCAAAAAAAAAAAAATGGAAATTAACAATTAAAACATCACTAAACTATTTTTTTTAATTAAAATGATGGTTAAATCATGCAACCAGGGTCCCGCACAGTGCCGCGCACCACATAACCGCGTTCTAGGAGCAGCTTGATGAGCCATGAACCAATGAACCCAGACGCGCCGGTGACGCACACGATCTCGCCTTCCTTCTCTGATGGCCCCATTATAAAATTCTCTGTCTGGTTCTTTAGATTTTCAGGCAACATAAAGAAACTCAAAAAGAAAAGTATTTTTAACACTAACTGGACCCTGTTTTTTCAGGTTTGCTTATGGTTCTTATATAGACGATGAAGATTCTCTCCATCTAACTCATGGTTCTTCATCACGTGGTGAGCTGCCGGTTTTGCACGTGGGTGGTAGTTGGCTGGGCCGTTAACTACCATGTTGCCCACTCGACTACACGGGGTATCTTACAAGCTTTGTTTCACTTGAATTTGAATCCTAACGCAAGGTCAAAGGTACACACCTATTATATAGGTTAAATTATGAATTTTGGTTATCAGTTACTGCTTATGTATTTTTAATCATTATAATTTGATGTTATCATTTTTAGTTTTAAATTTTTTAAATTTTTGATTTTTAAAATGATTCAAACTTTATTAATTTGTTAAGTTTAATTATGCTACTACTCCTACATAAACTGTAATTTTAATTGTTTTATCTATTTTAATCATAAACCCCAATAATTTAATCAAATTAACATTAATCGTTTAAGGTCATGAATAAAATTTTGAATTTTTCAAAAATTAATGAATTAATATTGACAATTAAATCTGAAAATTTCTTTAATCAATTAATGCTATATATCACATCACAATATTATCAAGTAATATTTTTAATAATTTTTTAAAATAATAATAAATTAATAAATTTCACGTGATAGAATCATAATGTATCATGTGATAGTAATATCTCATAAAAGAATTATCTTAACAATCAAAATTAATCAAATGAGTTAACTGTTCTTGAGGTTTTGGCTTCATGTTGCCTTAAGCATTATTATTATTCATTTCGGTTTCAACTATAGAAATCATTTTTTAGGTTTGAAAAAATATTTCAACTTGAAATGCAAATTTTAAAAGACTATATTATCATCGATCATTTTAGGTTAGGCATGACTGAATATCCATGAAATTATTCTTTAAAAAAATTGAAGGTTCTTATAAAAATGTAGTTTTAAAGGCTTATGTTTAAATTAAATAAAAATCAAACGATTTAATTGTTCTTGAGGTATTTTTAATAACAAGAATAATTTTGTTAGCCAAATGTTCCATTATATATTAGTAAAAATAAAATCAGAACCTTTGGCTATTTGTGCGATAGAGTCATGACCAGAGTCACTAGATGGACTAAACACTTCTTTTCTTACGGGGGGCTGAAAGTCTTTCTTAAACCGATGGCTCAGACCTTACCTCAATATGCTATGTCATGTTATTTATTATCGGAACACTTAATGAGATATATGGGATTATGCGTCAGTATGGATGGACAGGGAAAATTTCATAACGAGGTTGGCCTCTACTTGCTTGGAATACTTCTCTTATTCCTCTCCATGAAAATAAGCATCAAGCAGACACCGAGTTCCTCAAGCTTTCAAGCTTCTCGATTACATTCTATTTGAAGATTTAACGGTTATTCCAATCTCAGTACGATGCCCACTCTTCGACTCTGTTCCAGTTTCGCTTTTTTTTTTTTTCTCTCTTCAGCCTCACGTTTATCCTTGCCAATTGAAGAGAGTATACGAGTTTACGCCAAGACTAGTCTTATTGAAACCATTATTCTCCAATATCAGTGGAGTTTGAGATTTAGGGTAATAATCAACGAGATTTTGGGGTTGAGATGTGTTGCAGAAGACGGCTATCGGATAGAGCAAAATCGCAATTGATAATTTGAGAAAATAAAAATGAAGATAAAGAAGACACAAAATTTACGTGGAAAACCCCTAAATAATATAGGGTAAAAACCACGAGCAACGGTAGAAGAATTTCACTATGAGAAAATAGGAATTTACAACCTCTCTCGATCTACCAAGGAGAAAACAATGATAATTATCTCTTGATAAAAAAGAGAAAACAACTCTCAAGAAACTCTCTAAATTCTCTCTAGTATTGGAAGAAAGCTAGAATGCTTTGGGATGGTTTTGAAGCTAAATGAGCTAGGGTATTTATAGTTGAAGCTTTAAGGACTAATTTGTAAATATCCTAAAGTACAATGACTAAAATTGAGCTTTTACCATTGTCGAAAAATCAACAAAAAACAACCAATTTTTCGGTGCATTTAATTATTTGCACTTTCGGTGGAAATGTGCAGCCAATTTGAACTTTGGAATTTCAACAATCTCTCACTTGAAGATTAGATTGGAACAATCATATCTTCACACCATTCTTTCTACCTTTTACCTTCATGTTGCTTACGTTTCTGACAGGCCACAGGATGATCGACACCAGGTAAATTTATCAGCGCTGATTGCCTTCGTCATGAAATCTGCTATGTTGTCTTTGGTATGGATCTTCTGCATATCTACCGTTACTTCTTCCACCTTTTCACGAATGAAATGGTACTGAACTCGTATGTGCTTTGTCCTTGAATGAAATGATGGATTCCTTGCTTGTCCTTGAATGAAATGATGGATTCCTTGCTAGATGCAAGGCGCTTTGACTGTCACAAAATAGAGAGACATACTCTTGATTGTGCCCAAGCTCCTCCAATAGCATCTTCAACCAAATTGCTTCTTTACTGGCTTGTGTAGCTGCTACATATTCTGCTTCTGTTGTGGATGTAGCCACAACTGACTGTAACTTAGAAACCCAGCTTACAGCTCCATCAGTAACTTTGAACACATATCCTGTTGTAGATTTGCTTTTATCCAAATCCCCTGCATAGTCAGAATCTACATACCTATTGATTAGTAAGTTTGATCCTCTGTAACATAATGTAACATTTGAGGTCCCTTTGATGTATCTCAGGATCCTCTTTACTGTATTCCAATGTTCTTTGCCTGGATTCGCCATGTACCGACTAACTACTCCCACTGATTGTGCAATGTCTGGTCTTGTGCATATCATAGCGAACATTAAACTTCCCACTGCTGATGCATACGGTACTCGAGACATCTTTATCCTCTCTTTTTCACTGCTAGGACTCATACTGGAGGATAATTTGAAGTTAATAGGAATAGGGGTAGAAATTGGCTTACAATCTTGCATGCTGAATCGTGACAAGATCTTCTTCAAGTAATTCTTTTGTGAAAGCCAAATCTTCCTATTACTTCTGTCTCGGTGAATTTACATCCCTAGAATCTTGTTTGCTGATCCCAAGTCCTTCATTTCAAATTCTCTAGCCAGTTGTGCCTTCAATTCATCAATATGATCTTTGTTGGGTCCTGCAACCAACATGTCATCCACATACAATAGCAATATAACAAAATCGTTATCACCAGACCTCTTGAAATAAGTACAAGGGTCTGCATTAAGTCTGTTATATTCAAGGCACATAATGAAGGAATCAAATCTCTTATACCAACACCTCGGCGCCTTCTTTAGACCGTACAGAGATTTGTTCAACCTGCAAACAAAGTTCTTCTTTTCTTTTTCTTCAAAACCTTCAGGTTGGAGCATGTAAATTTCTTCTTCAAGATTTCCATGAAGAAAAGTTGTTTTAACATCTAGCTGCTCTAGATGTAAATTCAATGTAGCACATATTGCCAAGACTACTTGAATTGTTGTTAGTCGAACCACAAGAGAAAATATTTCATTGAAATCAATACCTTCTTTTCGAGCATATCATTTGACCACCAGTCTTGCACGATACCTCTCTACTTGATCGTCACCATTTTGCTTGATTTTGAAGACCCATTTGTTACCAATTGGTTTCCTTCCTTGTGGTAGTGGCACAAGGTCCCATGTATTATTTTTATGAAGGGCTTCAATTTCTTCTTGCATCGCCATCATCCATAGAGAAGCATCTGAGCTGTTTATTGCCTCCTGGTATGCTGATGGCTCATCGTCCTCTGTTAAAAGGTAGTATGCAATATTACCTTCTATAACATAATTTGAGTGCCAATTGGGACGTCTTCTCACACGATCTGATTGACGAGTTGTTGGAGCTTCAGAACTCTCTGGTTCTTGTTCATCATGTGTTGGTTCTGCTTCAGAAGAATCTCCTTGTTCAATCTCCTTTTCCACATGTATCTGTGTAGTCTCTGACTTTTCAGCGCTATCATCACTTTATTTTCTTTGTAGTTTATCCTCTACAAAGATAACATCCCTGCTGATGATCACTTTGCGGGTAATGGGATCCCACAAGCGATACCCCTTTACACCATCAGCATACCCCAAGAATTTGCATTTCCTGGATTTTGGATCCAACTTTGAAATTTCTTGGTAGTTGTACATCACGTATACAATACTTCCAAATACATGGAGGTTTGAATAGTCAGCTGGTTTACCAGTCCACATCTTCATTGGTGTCTTTAGCTCTATTGCAGTTGATGGAGCTCGATTCACCAAATAATAGGCGGTATTGACTGCTTCTGCCCAAAATGATTTTTCTACGCCTGCATCCCTCAACATTGCTCTTGTTCTTTCTAACAAGGTTCTGTTCATCCGCTCTGTCACTCCATTTTGTTGAGGAGTGTTCACCACTGTGAACTATCTTTTGATGCCTTCTTTCCTGCAAAAGTCATCAAATTCTTCGCTTGTGTATTCTCCTCCATTATCTGTTCTGAAACACTTGATCTTATTTCCAGAATCAAGTTCCACCCGCGCTTTGAAGTTTTTGAAAGTTGAAAACACGTCTGACTTCTTTTTAATAGGGTACACCCAACATCTCCTGGAGTAGTCATCAATAAATGAGACAAAATATTTTGCTCCGCCTAGAGATGTAACTGGTGCTTTCCATACGTCAGAGTGAGAACACTTTTGCCTCTAGAATTTGATGTGTTGAATTTCAACTGGTGCTGCTTACTTGTTATGCAATGCTCACACAAAGGAAGTGATACCTTTATTAAGCCTGGAAGTAGCTTTTTCTCCACAAGGACTTTCATTCCTTATTCTGACATGTGTCCAAGTTTCTGATGTCATAGCATTGCAGAATCTGAACTACATGAGGAAACAGAGGCTTCTGCTTCTAGCAAAGTTTCTCCCTTCAGCATGTACAAGTTTACAGCTATCTTTTCGCCTTTCAACACCACAAGCGCTCCACAGAACACCTTCATGATTCATTTCTGTGTTTCAATCT